CCTGAGAGATTTTTCTGTGGAGGGGGAATTTAGGAAAACTGACCTATCTTGGTGAGACAGAGAAGGGCTGTCAACCTAACAGTGACCACAGTTTGGGCGGGGCCCTGATGGTGTCTGAGGCATGGAGCAGTTCTTTGCCCAGTGGTTAGTGTTATCACAATCCAGGTGTAGTCATCTGTACCCCATCTTCTTTGGGGACCTTAGGGTCAATACTAATAGCTGACATTTCTGTCTATCTTCATGGGGAACTTTTCCCCCCTCTTTTTCTGAGACAGGGTCTCTCTGTGTAACAGCCCTAGCTGTCCTAGAACTTGCTCTGTAGACCAGGCTGGCTTCAAACTCACAAAGATCTGCCTGCCTGGCTCCCATGGTGAGCTTTTTCATTAAACACTTTAAATGTCATATTCAGCAGGTCTCTGAGGAGTTTTTTGGACCAATTATTAACTATATCTAATTTTAATCAAACTTTGCTTTTAGTTACTTGCTTTAGGCTTAGCTTTGAAAACATATATAGGAGACTAAATAAAGCTTGTCCCTATGAGTTACATTTGTACTTAGCATGACTATGTATGTGCATAGTTGTGAGCACATTAAAGAATTTGACCATTTATAAAGTGACTGAGCATTGACGTACATTCTTAAATACTTTTAACAGTTTACAACAAGTTAGTACCTTATATGAGATTAGGATTTTACAATTTTCTCCCTGTTAAATTTGGGCCTTAAAAATTTGATTTCTTAAGCCAGGCATTGGTGGCGCACTCCTTTAATCCCAGCGCTTGAGAGGCAGAGGCAGATGGATCTCTGTGAGTTTGAGGTCAGCTTGGTCTCCAGAGTGAGTGCCAGGATAGGCTCCAAAGCCACAGAGAAACCTTGTCTCGAAAAACTGAAAAAAAAATTGATTTTTAGATTTAATTGAAGATCCTTTAGCATCCAAATAAAACTTTAAAAGATAAACACAGTCACAAAGACAAAGAGGCTAGATATCTTCAAGTCAGTTCTGGTAGCCTGAATAGACCTTATAAATGTAAAAACCTTACTTATCAAATATACCTTATTTATCAAACATACGTTGTTCCTTATTTAAAATTTTCTGCCCGGGTATTGGTGGTGCATACCTTTAATCCCAGCACTCAGGAGGCAGAAGCAGGTGGATCTCTATGAGTTGGAGACCAGCCTGGTCTACAAGAGCTAGTTCCAGGACAGCCTCCAAAGCCACAGAGAAACCCTGTCTCAGAAAAAAAAAAAAAAACAAACACCACCACCAACAACAAAAATTTCTAGAAGCCTGGTGTGAAAGACCCCAGGAGGCTCAGGCCCCCAGGATCTCAGCCCAGGACCTCGGCCACCCCAATCACCAGGCAGAGGTGAAAGCTTGATGCAAAAGGCACAAGGCTTTATTGTAGTTATTTAAGGAGCTAACCCCATGTTAGCTCTGGCCTTTCATCCATCCACCATGGTGGATGGCTAGGAAAGACGCTGTGAAGCCACTGCATAGAGATTTTATAGGGCAGCGTAAGGGGAGTGTCTAGGGTATGCACAGGCTCAGGATTGGTGTGCCTCCAGGCTTGCCCTGTGTTAATTGGTCAACTGGTTGTTACCACCCATAGACTCTCCCAGGGCGGTTGCTATGCTCTGCACGTCATTGCTGTGCACTTGTCTGTAAAGCACACCCAGAGCCATAAAGCATAGCACCACCAGCTAACTTCTGATTGGTTCCTTGTCATGAGGCAGGCATCTGACCTCCTAGTGACCAAGGCAAAGTCAAGCAAGCATGTGCTAGGCTGTTATGGCTGCCGAAATGGGGAGCTGTCCCTTCAGGTGTAGAACATGGTTAGCAAATACATAGGTAGTCAGACATAAATCACTAAGTCAGCTTTTATTACTTTGAATAGTCTATTATAACTTAGGAATTTATAAACCTTATTTATCAAATATTTCTTATTCAAACATATGTTGTCATTTAAATTTTTCTGGAAACCTGGTATTGAGCAGTTTACAAAGACATAAGTAGTTAGACATACATCTTTAAGTCAGTTTCTGTTAACCTGAGTACACCTCTATAACCTAAGGAATTTATCATCATACAAAACCCAAAATAATTTGAGACCAGCTGTTGCCTCCTAAGTCTAAAAAGGAGACACAATGGTAAGCAGAGGGCTCAATAGGAACAAGGAGTTTTGTACCTGTTGTCTTAGTTGGCTTGTACCACATGGTCACCTTAATCAGGATGGTGGTCAAGTTACATTGCTTGTACTCTTTAACCTTAGTAAAGATGGCTACCAGACATCGCTTCCATTCTGAAGAGGTCATCAGCCAAAGACAGATGCAAGCCACATAGCTGATGTTTTTTTTTGTTTGTTTTGTTTTTTCAAGACAGGGTTTTCCTGTGTATCCCTGGTTATGTAGAACAGTCTGGCCTTGAACTCAAGAGATTCACCTGCCTCCCAAGTGCTGGGATTAAAAGTGTGCACCACCACCACTCAGCAATAGGTGATATTTAAAAACATCTATTTTCTGAAATAAGAGTTAAATTCAAGTTACATATTCAGATACAGTATGGTATAGCAGATCTATTTTTCCAAACAAGAGTTGAATCACATATATAAAATGCTGTAGCAAATTAAGATTACCTGTGCACAGATTTTTAGACAATCGGCCTTTTGTTATGTTTTAATTTTTTATTACAGATTTTGAAAAAAATGTTTTTCAAAATAAAGTTTTTTATTTTTTATATATTTGAATTACAAAGAAGATTGAATTACATGACAATCCCAGTTCAATTTTGAAAATTTTTAACCATACCTACTGAACTTAGAATTCCTGAGATAGAGTTTACAAATGGTCTTAGGAGAATTTCTTTGAGAGCAGAGAACAAAGAAATCATAGAGATAAAAGATCTTCAAAGGTGAAAAGTAGGAAAAGCCTTTAGAAAACAGGGTTTGGGAAGTATAGAGCAGCGAAAGTTGAGATATAAGAGAGTTGGGATTGGGGCTGGAGAGATGGCTCAGAGGTTAAGAGCACTGACTGCTCTTCCAGAAGTCCTGAGTTCAATTCCCACCAACCACATGGGGGCCCACAACCATCCGTTATGAGATCCGGTGCCCTCTTCTGGTGTGCAGATATACATGGAAGCAGAATGTTGTATACATAATAAATAAATAAAATCTTTAAAAAAGAGAGAGAGAGTTGGGATCATTTGTGCAGTTTGTTGTTATCACATGAGAGGATTTAGAAATCAAGTGCACTGGTTTTGGCCACTGACCTGTACTGAGACCAAGCCATTTGTAGTAAGACAATGAGGCTTTAATGGAATTTCTGAGTCCAAGAAGGAAAAGAGAAAGGGTTGCAGAATGGAACTCCACCAGGGGGAAGGTTCCAAGAGGAAGCTGAGATTCAAAGACAGGGTCCAAAGGAAGAACTCCATCCAGGAGGATAACATTACTGAACGTGTCCAGGAGGTCGTGGAAAGGAGGAAAGGGTCGCAAACAGTAACTCCAACTGAAGGATTCCAATATCCCAGAGGCCCAGAGGGCATTAAGGAAGCTACAGGACTTCTAGCTGAGAGATAGAAGGGACAAGGGCAGAAGAGAGAGAAGGGTAAGTGTCCTGGTGACAAGAATTTCTATCTAGGGCATCCCCAAGGGGACAGAAACCATCAGAGAGAAATGTCCCAAATCAGAGGAGAGGCATCACTTTCCCTTGTTTTTCCTTTTTGTTTTTCCAGACAGGGTTTCTCTGTGTAGCTTTGTAGACCTGGCTGGCCTCGAACTCACAAAGATCCATCTGCCTCTGCCTCTCCAGTGCTGGGATTAAAGGCATGTACCACCACTGCCTAGCTAAGGAATCCCTTTCCAAGTAATGGGGACCCTGGAGGGCAAGAGGATGCTTCCTGGCACATTGGTGTGGCTTTTACAGTAATAATAGGCAAAGCAGACAGCTCAGGGAGACACTTACCCAGTAGAGGAGGACAGATGAGTTGGTGGAGCAGGTGGGGAAGAAAGCAGCTGAAGAGAGGGACTGGGAGAGACAGAGAAGAGGAGCAACTCTCTTAGCAGTGAGATGCCCATGGGTTCACTATCCAAGAGAGCATAATCAGGCCCCAGGAGCCAGAGAGACTGAATGAAACTTACTGAGCAGGCAGGGAGAGACAAATGGTTAGAGCAGGTAGGAGTGACTGGGGGTGAACCCTAAAATTTAAGTCAACTATGGAGGGTGACAAGAGCCAGCAGAAACAAATGATCCATACATAGGCCCACTTTGTGAAGCCAGTCTGTATTATTCTGTGTTCGTGCCTGAGAGGGGGAATGTGGATTGAGAAACAGCAGGTAAAGTCGCTTAGGAAAAGACAGAGACACAGGATAGAGTCAGGAGGACAATACTGGATGCTCTAAGCTTATTCTTCAGCATTCTTAAATATCCCAGCCAAAAAGGGGAACATGGCTAAAGATTTCTTTATCAAGATACAAAGAACAGACCTTCTGCCAGGCGTTGGTGGCACATGCCTTTAATCCCAGCACTCAGGAGGCAGAGGCAGGTGGATCTCTGTGAGTTCGAGGCCAGCCTGGTCTCCAGAGCAAGTGCCAGGATAGGCTCCAAAGCTACCCTGTCTCGAAAAACAAAACAAAACAAAACAAAACAAAACAAAAAAACCAAAAAACAAACAAAAAACAAAAACAGACTTTATTCCTTAATTCTCCACCTTAGACTAAATTTATCTGGCCTTGAGGGTTAAGTAAGAGTAACCACACCTGAGACCAAGTCTCTAGTTATTTAGATAAGACATCTACAACCAAGAGCAAACATCCTACAGTAGCCACAGCTTAGACCTTTAGGTTTTATGACTTTAAACTTGGAAGAGTAAGAACAGTTTTGAACTCTCTGACTTTAAGTCAAGATGAAGGAAAGCCATTTTTATGGGTCCAGACAGAAAGGACTCATATATGCTCCTTCTGGGTTTCGGGCACCAGGCATATAAAGTAAGGACATGTTCACTCTAATTACAGTTGGGGGAAGGTTTTTATTGTAGATATGAGGCTTCTGGAAGAGTCCAGAACACAGAGAGAAAGTAGCAGGCTAAACATGGCCAGAAGACTGAACTGGGCCATGAGAAGAAGGGGTGGTGAATGGGGAGGGAAAAAGGAAGATAAGAAAGGATCAAGAAAGAGGGGGCAAGAGAATGCCAAGAGAGGGATAACTAAGAAGGCAAAAGGCTAAACATCAGAGTTATATAGGAATGAGAAACTGGGGAAAGGGGAGCCCATGAGCTCCAGAAGTTCAAGGTGAGAAGAGCCACAGGTACTGAGTTGGCCTGAAGGCCAGCATGCTCTTTGGTATTCTCATAGGCACCATGGGTAGCTGTTTGTTCTGAGCTTCTTTTGGAGCTGGACTCACAGGACTTGCCTTCAGTTAACCTGTCATTTGTTCCCAAGTGACATCACCAGAGGACTGCATACAATGATGACACCGACAGGGACTTTGTTTTTTCAGGCAACAGCAGACAATGGCAATAACAAGCAAGACTAGAAGACTCATGAGTAGGTATAGCCGGTTTCTGTGACCTAAAAGTGGGAAAATCAAGCAACATCTTGGTCAAGTTAAGAACAGCCATTTTTTCCTGGCAGTCTATGGACAAAATGGAGAAGCCAACATTCTTCTTCCTGGCATGGGAGGGGCCTGATGAACAGGCCAAGTTAGGGTGACCTGGGAAGAGGGAACCTCAGATGAGAAAATGCCTATATTAGATTGCCTGTAGGCAAGTCTGTGGGGCATTTTCTTCATTGCTAATCAAGAGAGGAGGCCCACTGTAGGCAGTGCCACTCCTGAGCAGTCTAAGAAAGCAAACTGAGAAAGCCACGAGGAGCAAGCCACGAAGCCTTTCTTCACGGCCTCTGCCTCAGTTCCTGCCTCATCCTTTTATGATGGACTACAAGCTATTGGCAAATAAAGTATGCCCTTTCCTCATTAAGTTGTTTTTGGCCAGCACTTTTATCAGAGTAATGTAAAGCAGACTAATGCAGGCAAAAAGGGAAACCACCATGCTGGCAGTCCTGAGAATAGAAGGGACTGGCCTTGTGTTCCAACAAGGAAGGAGACATCCTCAGTTCCTAAGAGTTTGTTGACTATTACACAATTTGGTAAAACACACATCACATGAAACTTAGTATCTCACCCACTTTCAGAGCACAGCTGACTAATCTGAAGTGTCTTCACTTGGCTGTGCAGTCTAGAACTTCCTATTTCACCTCTGTCATTTTGCTACCCCTGGACAGCCCAGGAGTACAGCAACACTTGCCCTTAGAGCCAGGCTTATTTCACTTAGCACACTGTCTTTAAGGCCTATTACACTGCTGTGTCAGAAATTCTGTGCTTTTCAAAAGTGAGTGCTATTCCATTGAATACACAGACTGTATTTGTTAGTTCATTTATCTACTTGCAGACCCTGGGTTGCTTTCTACCTTTGGGTTGTTGACACTCACAGGGCACAGTGCTGGAATTATAGGCCAGGGCCAGTGTGTCCTAATTGAATTTTACTGTATTTTTTGGAGTCTTGGGGATTGAATTTAGGGCTTCATGCATGCTAGGGAACACGCTCTACCACTGAGCTTCAGCCACGCCCTAACTTTTGCATACATTGTTAAATAAGGATCCAGCTTCATTCTTTAGCACATGTGTGTTCTTTTGCCAGCATTCTTTGTTGAAGAGGGGGCCTTTTCCCTACTGAATGTTCAGCTCAAGCATCTACTTACTGTAAAGAATTATTAAAAATTCCACTAACAGACACACATGCAGCAAAACATCCATACATGTTTTACAAGAAAACATGATGCTTTGGGACCCAGGCAGAGAAGCTGCACATGGTGACTCTACCTCTCTGAACAATCTGGACAAGACAGGCCACTAAGGTAAATTGGTCTGGGAGGGTCAAGGTCTGACAGAGACAGAGATTCCTTTCAGGGAACATGTATTTTGCAACAGATGGAGGGCTGGTATTCAATGTTATTTGATGTCTACTTTGAAACAGCTAGTTCTGTGGTGTGTAAATTTTCATTCAATCAGAAGATAGTCATAGAGACTAAAAATAAATCTGTCTTACTTGTAGCAGCCAGACCACACACTGTGTTCGATGTGGAGTTGCATCTCTGGAGGACAGGGACTCCCTGGGGACACCTGCAAAGAGATATCCTCAGTTCTTCCCGACAATCAGCAGCAGAAGATGCCCAGAAAGTCTTGATGCTAGCTCCAAACCACGTCAGGCAGCATCATGATCCAAGATCTGAAACAGGTTTCTGGCCACACAGCTGTCACCAGCCCCCTGGCATCTCAGACAGTATCAAATGATTCTCACTAAATATATAAAATTTGCATTTCCCTTCTCTACTGATGTCCATAGCCTCTTTGGAATGAGGACTCAAATTCAGAGTCCCCAGCACAACTCTCCCCAGGACTATGGCTTGTGCTGGCACCCCCTAGTGGTTTGGAGGCGCAACAGCTCCATTTGACTGGAGCTACTGCCTCTTACTGAGGGTGAAACCTACAGAATTTTCCTAAAATCCTGCCCTGAAGTCATTTCCCATACAGTTTAACCCAGAACTACCTTCCTGGGAATGAATGAGGCTCTCCCTAGCCATCCCTAAGCCTGATACACTGAAGAACCCTGGATGGCAGCACTCAGAAAAACTGAGTCTTTTGGCAAGGGTTACCTACTTTTTCTCAAGGGACACAGGGACGGCTAGCAATAAGTCCTGCACCACCCAGGCCACAGAGTCCCCACTCCACAGTACCCCTTGACAAGGTATGACACAGACTGACCCTTTCTCTGGACATTAAATGCTACTCAAACAATGTATAAAGCCAGCACAGACCCATGCCAGTGTCCTTACTTGGTACACTGGCGGCAGAACTCACTGGATCCGGGGTCAGAATAGAAATGACCCATTCGGCACTGGCATTTCCGGTCACTGGTGGCAGAGCAATCAGCCACTTTTTCCTGGTCTGCAATCCAGGGAAAGCAGGGTTAGGTCAAGGTGAGCATCCTCAAATATGCACATAGACCCTACCATCACCTGAAGGGAACAGTGTGTCCCACCTCAAGTGTGCACACAGAAGCCATCACCACTTGAGGGGAACAGTATGTCCCAGTATGAGCTTTACCAGCCATCACAGAACACTAAACAGTACTAAACAGTACTGCTATGAGCATCCGCACCCTCAGGGTAGCACCCAGAGGTGAGGTAGATGATGGCTTGGGAGATTCATTATTCAGCATCCCATACAACAGCATCAAACTACCCTGAGGCCTCCATCCCAGGTGGTCCTGATCTATATGCTTACTGCCCTACAAGGTTCCCCCGCCCTGCCTCAAGGCCACCATCTCCTTCAGACATCTCTGACATTGCCTTATTTAATTACCTCATTCTTTGCTGAAGAGCTCCAGACCCCTGGTGGGTCCTTGGGCTCTGGGTATGCACCTGTCTTAATTGAGACTGACTCAATGACTTATGAAAGAAGATGGTTTTCCCACTTATGGTGCTCCATTTAAACCTTGTGTCTATAGTTCAGTGCACCACAAACATTCAACCTACCTTCGTCACCTCACAGTGCTCTGATGCTAGGCATTGTCCATTCTAGGAGCACAGCAGTGGGCGCAGGAAGGGAGGACTCTCAGCCCTGCTCTCTTCAGATGTCTTACAGCACATTTCACAATCTGTGATTGTGGAATGTGGTCCTGTTTTTTTTTGTTTGATTGTCTAAGATAATATTTCTCTATGTAGTCCTGGCTGGCTTAGAACTCACAACATAGATCAGGCTGGCCACACACTGAAGTGACGTTTCCATCTATCTCTGCCTCCTGAGCTCTGGGATCAAAGATGTGTGCCACCGTACTCAGCCTGCTTCCATCTTTACGCTTGGGAGATGCATATGACAGTGCTGAGGCACGGGATATTGTGGCATTTGTTATTTGGTTTAATATGATTCAGTGACACAGAAGTGGATACACATACACACACAAAACAGAATTTTTTCCCAAAATGCCAGGGAACAAACGCAGACCTTTTGCATACCAGGCAAGCACTCTCACCGAGCTGCCTCCACTGCCCCAGCAAAACCAAGTTTGTTTTGTTTCTTGAAGACAGAGTCTAGGACGTTGGTGGCACACACCTTTAATCCCAGCACTCGGGAGGCAGAGGCAGGCAGATCTCTGTGAGTTCGAGGCCAGACTGGTCTCCAAAGCAAGTGCCAGGATAGGCTCCAAAGCTACACAGAGAAACCCTGTCTCAAAAAACCAAAAAAAATAAAAAATAAAAAAAATAACCATTAGCCGGGCGATGGTGATGCTTGCCTTTAATCCCAGCACTCAGGAGGCAGAGGCAGGCGGATATCTGTAAGTTCGAGACCAGCCTGGTCTACAAGAGCTAGTTCCAGGACAACCTCCAAAGCCAGAGAAACCCTGTCTCAAAAAACAAAAACAAAAACAAAAACAAAAAAAAAAAAACAGAGTCTCACTATGTGATCTGCTTCCAGAGTTCTGAGATTAAAAGCATATGCCACCCGCTTAAAGTTTTTGGAAAACTACTTTTATTCCATACATTTCCGTACCCTCCTGCAGGCATGTGCCTCTTCTCTCAGCTGCCTCCCTGGATCCACACGCCTGCCGCTCTGCTCTTTAAGGCCTTCTTTCTACATGTTTGGGATTTTGCACACATGGAAGGGGTGATTTTTCTCATTACCCGCATGTGTTTTACTAGGTTCTGCATTCAATTGGCAATTAGGAGAAAATAACCAATGGCACAAGACTGTCTTTGTGATTTTTCTGAAATTGTTCTTATTCTGAGTCCTTCTCACTCATAAAGAATAATTTTTGCTTTGGTTTGGTTTTGAGACAGGGACTCACTGTGTAGCCTTTGCTGCTCTGGAACTCACTGTTAACAGGCTGGTCTTGAACTCAGAGATCAGCTGCTTCTGCCTCCTGTGTCCTGGGGTTAAAAGTTGTACAACCATGCCCAGCTGTGTAAGAAACAAATTTTAGTGGGGACTCTCCAGCTGCATCCTGGCATCCAATCATGGCTACTCCATCCCCGTATTGAACCAATGTGTTTCTGATTCTACTGCCAGTTTTCACAGATAGACAGTGAATGTCATTCCTAGTCCAGTCTCTGCTCAGTCACACACTTACCTTTTCCACAGCTGGAACAAGGTATGCAAGACTCTAGGCCATTACCAGCCTCTGTGAATGTCCCTGGATGACACTTCTCACATTGTCCTAGGGTGTGGGGGATTGTGCAGGACTCCTGGACAAACTCACCTGTGGATAGGGCAGACAGGGAACAGCTTGCTCCAGGCACACATGAGTAAGGACTATGTTGCTCTAGGTGGGCTTACCCTTTTAGCACAAGTTCTATAATCTTTGGGCTGTCACAAACTGCTTAAGGATCTGTAAGGGCTGCTGGATCCTTGAACTGCATTCATTCCTGTGGATATCTGACCCTCTGAGAGAACCAGTGGTGAGTAGAATGGTCTCCTTGGACTCCCTGCAGGGCTCAGCTTCTAAGTCAGAAGTAACTGACTCCTGCCCTTCAAGCCCCATGTCGTGTCATGCCCCCCCTCCCCCGACTTTGAATGGCAGTCCCAGTGTTTTGAGGGGCATTTGAGACCTGGGTGAAATCAGGTCACTTCCATTTATTGCTTCATAAACATGTCACTTAACAAGAACTTTCTTTCTCAGGCCTCTGTTGTTATTGTTGGTATTGATACAGGCTTTCACAATACTGCTCAAGATGGCTAGGAATTCATAGCAATCCTCCTGCCTTAGCCTCTCGAGTGCTGGGATTTTAGGCTTGAGCTACCGTGCTTAGCTTTTTTTTCTCTCTCTCTCTCTTCTTTTTTTTTTTTTTTTTTTTTTTTTTTTTTTTTTTTTTTTTCTAACAAAGGGTCAGTCAATAGTCCTGGCTGGCCTGGAACTCATGGCAATCCCATTGCCTCAGTTTCTCAATGCCAGGATTACAGGTGTGAGCTACCATACTCAACTTTTTATGCCTTTCCTAAAAGCAGGGCAGTTCTTTGTCCTAGCAGGTTCTCCTGGGGCCATTTTGCACCTCTTGGTTCAGGCTCTCTGATGCCACCTTAGAAGTGTTCAGATGGCCCTGGGGATCTCCTTTCCTATTGTTTGTAAATGAAGCTATAAACAACTATGTGATCAAGTCCAGCAAGCATGCTACTCTCATGTGTTCCCCAAACAGCAGCTTCAGACATGATCAGACAACAGACATGCAGAGTCCACTGGAGAAGAGAGACTTGTGGAGTAAGACCGAGACATGATGGGGTCAAAGGTGCACTGGATGGGCTGTGGCCATGTCAGTCAGTTCTTGGCTAGGCCTGAATTGAGTCAAGCCTGGTGGACAGTTGGCTGAGTCTTGGTGTTTGGCTCTTGTATCTATTTGGACCAATAATTTTTCATTTATGGCAATTGATGGTTGCTGCTGTTTTTAAGATTTATTTTTATTATTATTGTGGTGTGTGTGTGTGTGTGTGTGTGTGTGTGTGTGTGTGTGTGTGTGTGCACACACAAGTATGTTCAGGTGCCCATAGAGTAAAGAGGGCATCAGATCCTCTGGCACTGGAGTCTTAATGTGTTTGTGATATGCCTGATACTGTATTGGGAACCAAACTTGGGTCCCCTGCCAGAGCAACAAGCTCTCTTAACTGCTGAGTCATCCCTATTTTCTTTTTGAAACAAACCAACTTGAAATGGGAAAATGAGTGACCATAAAGAAGAATGTTAAAGTCAAGCCCTAAATTTTGGGATTGAGGCTGACATGAGTGGCCAGAGTATAGTGTCCCTGTAGTGCTGCCACTCTGCAGCATTGACTTCAAAACTAATTGTCTATCTGTATTAGGGGATGACCTTTTCCTGAAGGAATGTCAGGAAGTAGCAGGGGACAGGTTGACACTGGCTGGCAAGGGCTGGTTGGTATACACCTTTAGCACTTATCTGTGCTCTGTCTCCAGAGGAGCCCCTCTGCTCTGCTCTGCTCTGCTGCAGGGCTGGGGGAGGGAGGGGGAAACTGAGGCTTAATCTGGTCCCACATGGTTCTGCCTACATTAAACACGAAATTGCTCAGTTCTCTCAACAGCTGGGAACTGGACTTTTCACGGACTCCTTGCTCTGCACAGGGGCCTAAAGAACAGGAAACTAAATGATTTGTCTGGGGTGACACAGCAGGGGATTTGGTGGGACATGGGTCCAGGACAGCTTTACTTCAGTGGCTTTGGGAGTCCCATGGTAGGCACCTGCTAAGAGCGCCTTCACTCACCATGGTATGGTGTGATTTCTGGTACATTTGTGTTGACAGACTAGGGCCTTGGGCTATCCCAAGCATCTGCAGCCTACTATGTGTGTCTACATGAGTCATGAAGACCCTATTAATCATGGTGTGGTGAGCCGTCCTGCCAAGATCCCACTGAGTGAAGGCGGTGGGGCTCTTGGCACCTGTCGAAAGTACAGACAGGTGATATTAAACCTCCCAACTCCCTTTGCTGAACTTTCCTCTCAGCTGGGTACCACAGCTTCATGCCCTGGAGGGTGGATAGGTAGGTGACCTTCCACTAGTAAAGCCTTGGTAGAAGTAGTCATACCAGTTAAATCTCCTGAACACACAGAGGCTCCTTTTGGGGTCTGTGTCCCTGGGTTAGGAGGCACTTCCTAGAGTGTGCGTGAGTAGGCAGTTGCTGAGTTGAGCTCCCTGGCCCACACCCTCTTCATCCTGTACAGTGTCTGATGTGCTTCAAAGGCCACCCACGCCTAGGCTCTGGCACTGGGTCCCCTGGCAGAACTCACCCGCACTACAGTTCTTGCAGCAGTGGTCCCCAGACAAGTGCTCATCGGTGCTGCAGTTCTTGCTCTGTCTGTAGAGTGGTTCTGGCATCGTAGTTAACTGTAGCTGGGAAAGGACAAAGGGCAGCTTAGATTTATTGGTAACTGCAGAGGATGGTCAGATGATGGAAACAGAAGTACCAAAAAAGGAGCCCCCTTGTGGAAAGCATACGGGCAGCAGGGCAGGGATTATCTGATGCTATGCTGTAGAAGGCTGGAGCCTACCACTGTCTCAAGAATGCTGTGCAATAGATCACTGTGAGTTCAAGGTCAGCCTGGTCTACAGAGCTAGTTCCAGGACAGCTAGGGCTGTTACATAAAGAAACCCCCGTCTCAAAAAAACAAACAAACAAACAAACAAACAACAACAAGGCTTGGTGTGGTGGCCAATGATAGGGGATTGAAAAGACAATATCCATGGAGCCATATCACACAGGCAAATCCAGAGCCTATAAAGTAATGTAACTCACACTAGAAAAACTGTTTACCTTTGTCATGTCTCACTTTTCTCATCTGTAAAATGGGGATAGTAACATACTCACTACCGAGGGTTGTGAGATTAAATAATGCATGTAAAACAGTTGGTATGTTCCTGGCACATTCTCTCACCTCCCTACTTCCTGCACTAAGTGACCTACCTTGATCTACAGCCTAAACATAAGGGGTTCAAACTAAGAATATGGATCACTTGAACTCTGTACCAAAGAAATCACCAAGCCTAGGCCTTCTTCTTTATATCTGCATTTTCTTTTTCTTTCTTTCTTTTTTTTTCTTTTTTTCTTTTTTTTTTTTTTTTTTTTTTTTGTTTTTTTTTTTTTTTGGAGACGGGGTTTCTCTGTGGCTTTTGAGGCCGTCCTGGAACTAGCTCTTGTAGACCAGGCTGGTCTCGAACTCACAGAGATCAGCCTGCCTCTGCCTCCCGAGTGCTGGGATTAAAGGTGTGCACCACCAACGCCCGGCTTATATCTGCATTTTCATGCGCACACTCTTAAAAGTTCTCTACAGCAGCAGCCTTTAGGACTCAGCTACACATTCCTGGGAACTGTCCTATCTCACATCCCCACTGCTCTCTGCTCAATCTCACTGCTAGCACCCACCTCACAATCTTTAACTTCCTCTGGCTCTGAGCTCCCTCCTTCAGCAAGGTTTCTTCAATAAGCAAGAAAAACTCCTTGGCTGCAGGATTTCCTGGTTCATAGATTAGAATCATCTGACAATTTTTCTTTTTGCCTTCTGGTAGTCTTGGCCCACTTATTCTGTCAGGAATTCTGCCATTAACTCAACAGGCAGGAGTCTTTTTAGGGTTACCAGCTTCATTGCCTTCATCTTGGTGTCGTCTTCATCATCATCTGTCATACCTGACAACTTTTCATCAATGCCCTGAAGGCAATACTCACTATTTCTCCCTGCCTTGCAAGGACTGAATACTTGCCTGCTTCCCCTATACTTTTTAGGAAGGACAATGACCACAGGTCAGACTGGATTTGTTAAGATATGTTTATTTTCAGTCCAGCAGAGGTGGCACAAGCCTTTTAATCCCAGGTCTCCAGAGTCAGAGGCAGAGGCAGGTGGATCTCTGTGAGTTCATGGCTAGCCTGGTCTACCAAGAGAGTTCCCAGACAGCCAGAGCTACATTGCAAAACCCTGATACTCAAAAAAACAAAACAAAACAAAACAAAACAAAAAAACCAACTTTATTTTCAATACTCTTTGAGGATTGTTTTTTTTTTTGTATCCTTTAAAGAGATATTATCTTCAGTCCATTATTTTTATTTATTTATTTTTTGAGAGAGGGTTTCTCTGTGGCTTTGGAGGCTGTCCTGGAACTAGCTCTTGTAGACCAGGCTGGTCTTGAACTCACAGAGATCTGTCTGCTTCTGACTCCTGAGTGCTAGGATTAAAGATGTGTGCCATCTCTGCCCGGCTTATTTTTATTTTTGACTTCTATAAGACAGGGTCTCACTACACTGCTCTGACTGTTCTAGAACTCACTATATAGACTAGGATGGTCTCAGACTGACAGGTATCTTCCTGTCTGTCTCCCCAGTGCGGAGTTAAAGGTGTGCTACCCTACACCCTGCTCATCTTCAATCTTTCTTTGAAGTACCTTCTTTTTGTGACAATATTTGAATCAATCATCACTTACTTTACAACATTGTCTAGATAGATTGTTTCTGGGGATTTCTGGAATAAAAAAAATGCAAAGCAAAGACTTCTCTGGAAATGTCTCAGCAGGTGTGGAGCTCCAGAGCCCCAGCCTGGAGAAGCAGAGAAGTTTTCGAGGTTAAGAATCACCCCGTGAGAGAGGTCTGGGTCCCTCCCTCGTGGGGAAATTCAGGATATAGTTATTCTCAAACTACTGTGAGCCACCTCTGAGTCATGGCTGTTGAACATCCGCTGGCAGCCTGTGGAGGAGTTCTCTGGAAGGGTCAGACAGACTGTCTTGAAAGGTTCAGGCATTATGCTGGCCTGCCCCTGTTACCTGGTGGAACAGGCAGTAATCTGGTCAGCCCAGGGTTCCATGGGAACTAAGTCTGCATGAAGGTGCAGAGAAAACCTTTAAAAGACAGATCCCTGCCCATTTATGCTCTCTCTACACTTCTCTCTCTACACTCTCTACTCTTCTCCTCTTCTCTGTCTGCTTCTGCCTCTCGTCTCTCTCTCTCTCTCTATGGCCACCAGCCATGGAGGTCAGCCATTAACCCTGTTTCTCTTCTCTCTTAGCCTCTTTCTCTGCTGGGCCTATAATAAACTGGTTAATATGTCTAATATGTCTCTTAGTCTTAGGTCTCATCTTGGGCTTTCCTCCTCTTCTTCTTTATCTTTAATTTAAACAAAAGAATAATAGTGTCCTGTTAGACACTGGCTGGATTGGTTGTTGCCAAGGGAACTGCCCAGTAACAGCCAGCTAAGAAGTACTCTTAACCAACAAAGAACTTCTCCAGTCCCGCCCCCTCCAGACACTGTTTCTCTCTCTAGCTTTGGAGGCTGTCCTGGAACTCACTCTGTAGACCAGACTGGCCTCAAACTCACTGAGATCCACCTGCCTTTGCCTCCAGAGTGCTGGGATTAAAGGCACATGCCATCACTACCCCACTCTTTTGGTTTTGAAGACAGCATATCACAATGTCGCCTCAGCTGGGTTGGAATATTCTTTCAGAGACCGGGCTGAACTCAAAATTGTAGCAATCCTCCTGCCTCTGCCTCCTGAGTGCTGAGATTACTGGTGTGTGGCACCAAACCAAGCTTAAGAGAAGAATGAGAAAAGATCGACATAAAATTAAGTTGGCTATAACCAAAAGGTCATTTACATGGTTGTTCAGTTTTTTGTTTGTTTGATTGATTTTCAGAGTCTTACTGTGTGTAGCTCTGGCTGACCTGGAGCTCGATATGTAGACCCAGGCTGCCCACTAACTTAAATTTAACTGCACTTCAATATTAAAGTGACAATGAGCAATTTTGGGACAGAGATCAGGAAGATCCACGAAAGGCAGTAGGCAGAGACATTTCTTCTACACGTTTGCTCCTTTAGCAGTAGTTAGCATATTTCTGCACCAGCCTGGCCAGGCCCGCCCAAGGTACAGATGACTCGCGTGCAGGAGCCTACTCTGCACCTGTAGGAAATGCACCAGGCGGAAATGCCCTGGGCGAAGTAATTCCGCGTTTGGCAGCTTTTCAGTGAAAAGGCAACAGGGACACCCTTCTCTAGGCTGTGCACGAGGTCACTTCCCTGCCTCTGCTCCGACTCCCCACCCCATCCCCCGACTTCTGAACGAGTTAAGAGTAGGCGATCCTCCCTAGATAATGGTAGGCAGTTCCCGGAGCGCCACACAACCTGAGACTTGTCCACTGCCAGCAGTAGCTTTCCCCTGCAGCCCAGAGTCCGGGTGCCAGGACTGGGGTTTCAGTTCCGAGCGGTTCCCTGCCTCTGCCCCGGCTCCCCACCCCACTCCCGACTTCTGAACGCATAAGAGTAGGCGACCCTCCCGAGATGCTGGTAGGCAGTTCCTGGAGCGCCACGCAGCCGGAGACCTGTCCGCCGCCAGTCGCCAGTCGTAGCTTTCCCCTGAAGCCCAGAGTCCGGATGCAGGACTGGGGTTTCAGTTCTGAGCGGTTCCCTGCCTCTGGCCCGACTCCCTACCCCATCCCCGACTTCTGACCGCGTAAGAGTAGGCGACCCTCCCGAGATGCTGGTAGGCAGTTCCCGGAGCACCACATAGCCGGGGACCTGTCCGCCGCGAGCCGTAGCTTTCCCCTGAAGCCCAGAGTCCGGGTGCCAGGACTGGGGTTTCAGTTCCGAGCTGCGTCTCAGCGGCGTCTACTCACCTGCACCAGCAGATACAACTGTAAACAACGACCCAGATTGGAGACAGACACAGGATGGAAAATCATGACTGTGCCACAGCCCGGCCGCTTTCATGGCCTTAAATACCCTTTACTGTGGGCCCGCCTCTTCTCCGCCCATTGCTTCCTTTATGGTTGCCCAATCTCTGGGTGGGGCTGTACTGCGCCTTCCCTCTCGGCCACATTCATGGTCACTGGTCAATGGTCTGGAGTAGCAGCTGAAGGCTTCTCTATCAGGGTCTGGGGGGCTGTGTGAGACCTGCTGACTCTGCTGGCCTCAAAGTAACTAAGTCTGGGTGATACTCTCCTAGTGCTCCAGGAGAAGCCTGGCTTTCCCTCCTCCCTGTATCAGCTTCCTCTGGCCTGTGAGTGAATCCCTTGGCTATTCTTCCTGTTGATAGTGCTTAGCTCCTCATGTGCCAATCTGAGCTCTTGGGACACAGGACATTTAAGGCAAGTCTCCTAGCCTGACGTAGGAAACACAAAGTCTAACTCTCATCCTCTCTAGAGAACGTGGGTCCAAGATGGTTGGTTCATCTTCCCACCTGCCTCCTCCAGGTGCTGGAAAAGGTGGTCTACTGACCAGCCCCTCCATCTCCCCTCCAAATGCCACCTCCTCTTTAAAATGAGGGAAGACTCAGGGGCACCAGAGGACTTTGGATTTCATTGGCTGCCCCAAGAAAGAGGGACCTGACACCAACATGTCTCTCTTTAAGTCATCCATTGCCTCTCTTCCTAGGGCCAGGGAGTGGAGTCTGTGTCCACCAGCCCTCACCTAGGCTGGGCAGTGGGAGGGACCAATTCTTTGGCCAGCCTGTGGCCTTTCTAATTTTTATCTTCTCTCAGGCCTGGTATGTCTGCTCAGGACTAAACCAAATCAAAATACAAACAGGTTTCCTTGGGAAGTTTGATGATCCCCTAAGGTACTCATTGGCTCAACACTCTGAAGTGTCCCCCACCCTTGAGAAGCAGAGGAAGGGAAGAGGAAAGAAGTATCTACTTGTGAATACTATTGTCTCACCTGCCAGGCAGCTCCTCTGACTAGTTTGGGAGTTGGGGAGGTTAGGGGTCTTTCCCTTCCTGCACACACATTCCAAGTTCTGCCTGTTCCACTCTGCAGGGAATGGGGGGGTGCCTGTCTACCCCAGCTAGATTTTTGTGCCCCAGGCCCCTCTCTGATCCCTGCCTTTGACTTTTAAAACATTCTTGAGAGAGAGAGAGAGAGAGAGAGAGAGAGAGAGAGAGAGAGAGCAGGTGCCTCCAGAGGCAGAGGTGATACATCTCCTAAAGCTGGAGTTACAAGTAGTTGTGGGCTGTCTGATGTAAGTCCGGAAATCAAACGGGTCCTCTGTAAGATCAGTGCATACTCTTAATGGCTGAGCCATCTCTCTAGCCATCTCCACTCTTGTTCTTTAAAGTGGAATATCATATTGGTTCAGGAACTCCATAATGGTTCAAGGCAGTTGGGTGACTTTCTTACATGAGTGTATGCCCAGAAGGTTGCCCACGTGGAAGTGAGGGGCTGAATCAATACCAGGGAAATGTTCTCTAAAATAGATGTGGTAATTTCTTCTGGGGATACTCCCCAGGTTGCTGCTGGCAGGTTGCTGTTTGGGAATATGTGAGGATTCTGTTTGTGCTCTGCCATTTCTGGGACTGCAGTGAGGATTTTTTAGTAATGTTTCATCACTACACACAGTAATTCAAGGCTACAAGGGCAAGGGAAGGGCTTTGGTAGGTGAGGGTGGATTTTGAGATGGGACAAGAACTCAGGGAGTGGTATAGAGAGGCCAGGTAGTTAGTGTGGCCTGTGGGCCCAGCCTGGAGCGTTTCTCTTTTTTGCTCATTTTTGTGTCTGGCATGTACAATGGGAAAAGTTCATAGTGTGAATGTCCTGTCCATCTATATAGTGTAGTGTCCTGTCCATCTCCAGGCAGGCAATGTACATGTTATCACACACCAACCAGTCTCTTACAGATGCAATATGGTGGGATTCATTGGGAACTTAAATTTTTCATCTTCTAATATGTTTGTATGCAAATTGTCTACAAATACCCACAGCTCCATGTGACAGAACAGTTCTGTGTTAGCTTGCCTCTCTTCACTGAAAGCAACTTGGGGAGAAAGAGTATTATATTAGGCTTACAGGTCACAGTAATGGAAGGAGACCAGGGCAATAACTTGAGCAGGGCAGGAACCTGGAGACAGAAACTCAAGCAGAGGTCATGGAGGAGTGCTGCTTACTGGCTTGTTCACGGCTTGCTCTGCATGCTTTCTTATATAACCCAGGACCACCCAGTTATCTGGACCATCCCATATTAGTCAAGAGGTTCTCTCTTCTAGATGACTGACTCCAGTTTGTGTTGAGTTGACAATGGACACTATGACAATCTTCCAATAGCACTATATATAGAGAGAGAGAGACTTAGAAAGAAAAAACATAGGTTTTGGAGAGAAGGCTCATGAGTTAAGAGCTCAGCCCTGCTGTCCAAGCCTGATAACCCTAGTTAAATCCCCAGAACCCACATAATGGTGAAACTAGAAGCCAGGAGGTGGTGTCACATGAGAGGTAGAGGCAAGCAGATCCCTGAGTTTGAGTTCAGCCTGGTTTACAAAGTGACTTCTGTACAGCCAGGGCTACAGAGTAACCCTATCTGAGGTGGAGGAAAATCAAAAACAAAAACAAAACAAACAAACAAACAAACAAAAAACCAAAAGAACCCCACAGAACTGATTGCACTGTTTTCCTCCTCCTCGCCCTCTTCCTCCTCCCTCCCTCTCTCTTTCTCTCTCTCTCTCTCTCTCTCTCTCTCTCTCTCTCTCTCTCTCTCACACACACACACACACACACACAAATATCGTGTAACACAATAATAATTTTTAAATGATTTGAAAATAAAATAGGTGGGCTTGGTGGCACAGACAGCCTTAACCTCAACACTAGACAATCAGAGACATGAGGCAGCTTGGTCTATACTGTGAGTTCCGGGGCCACCAAGGCTACCCATCTCGAAAAATAAAACAAATAGATGGTACTCTAAATGAGGAAAACTTGTTTTACAGATATGTTTTTCCCCTAGATCTTGTCTTTAGCATGGTTGTCGTCTGCTGGCTACAATTTGCCTGAATTCAGTCTCTAAGAATGTAGGTAAACTTAGTTTAAGAAATCATTGTTTCTAAACCTGTGTTAGTTTGACCAAAAAGGAGAGGAGGAGTTTCCTTTGCAGAGCGGATCAGACTGGATCACATCCTTTGGGGCTCAGGCTTGTGGTTTCCTTTAATAACTTCAGGAAGAAAGAGCGCAAGCAGCCTCTGTTCCTCTGCCGAACAAAACCGAGAACTGAAGCTTAGACGCTTAGACATAGTCTTTCGTGATGTCACCCTCCACCCTGCCTCCTACTCCTTCGTGATGTCACCCTCTACGCGCCCTGCAAACTCCACCCCCACTGCCTCCTACTCCTTCGTGATGCCACCCTCCACGCGCCCTGCAAACTTACACACACACTGCCTCCTACTCCTTCGTGAGGCCACCCTCCACGCTGTCCTGCGCTCTGAGCAGTGCTTCCCAGGTGAGGGGAGCATGGTCTGCCGTGCAGCCCGGTGCTGCACAGGGAACCCGCAGTTCCTGATGCCCATTGTCTCCTTCTGTCCATTAGGAGAATGGGTTCTCTTTACACGATTCCTTGGGTAAGATTTTTGCTTTAAAAAAATTTCTGGAGCGAGTTCCAGACAGTCTTTGTGTCCTGACCCCTGATCCCTCTGCATAGCATTCCTGTGTCAAGCTGGGCTGAGATTCAGGTACTGACTCAGAGCCCGAGAATGTGGGTGGGGAATGGGGCAACTCTCTGTTAAGAGAGTGCTGGGGATCAGAGAGGTGGGCTAGAAAATTTGCTGCTCTGGCTGTCAGGTAACTCACTATGTAGATAAGTCTGGCCTTAAACTCTGGGCCTCCAGACCCCAGCCTTGGGATTAAAGGCGTGCACCTCCACACCCGAAGCAACACGTTCTTAAACACCTCTCCAGCACTCCTGCTCTGACTTCAGCCCCGCCTGATCCGAGTCCAGCCTCTACAGGAGTCCTCAGGAACACGATCATACTTCAAGAGGCTTTTACTTTCTCTTCCGCCCCGGACACCTTTCTCTTCTTCTGGCATGCCTATGCATTTCCTGCCACAGCCGCGTCAGGGGCTCAGACTCCGTTCACAGGGTCCTCCCTCCCAGTGCTCTCCTCCAGGAGTTCCAGCCCTGATCCTCGTTGGCCTGGTCACCTACCTGCGCTAACAGCAGGACTGCCACAGCAGAGGGAGGAGACATGTCCTGGTCATGTAAAAAGAGCTGCACATGGGCTTTTAAAGCTTAGCTGGGTGCCCGGCCTAGACTCATCTCTCAGGGCTGGGTGTGCCTATCTCTGCTCTCTGTGCCTACGCTGGGGGTTGGGGGAAGATTAGCCCGCCCACACACACTTTTGTCCTTTCCCTTATTGTACCAAACTCTCATCTTCCCTCACTGACCTCTGCCCCCAGTAGACATTTAACTTTCCAACCTTGTCCCGAATGTTCTCAATTTCACCTCCATCATTTTGTTGCTCCAGGACGGCACAGAAGTACAGCAACAGTTGCCTTGGGGCTAGGCTTATTTCACTTAGCATAGCATATAGTCTTTAAGGCTTATTAAACTGCTGTGTCTGATTGTCTGTCCTTTTTTAGAGTGAATGCTATTCTATTGAATATACAGGCTGTATTTGTTAGCTCATTCATCTACCTGTGGACCTTTGGCTGCTCCCCACCTTTGGGATGTTGAGAAAATGACCCTTCTGAGATATACCCAGAGATGGGCTGGCTTGATCCATTGATACTATTTGTAATATTCTGAGGAATATCCATGCAACTTTCCACAGCGTCTGTACAACTCCTGCAGTTTGTAAGTTTACAGTTACTTAACATCCCAAACATTTCTAGTTTTCCTAGCTTTGGGTTTTATTTTTGTTTTAAATTAGTATCTGTCCTCATGGATGTGAAGTGTCTTCACGTGGTTTCATTTTCCCATGATCAGTGATGCTGAGCACACTCTGTGTTCTCCTGTGGATCTTTTGACTGGACATGAAGGTTCATGCCTATAGTCCTAGCATTTGA